GGAATATTTATTTATGAATGGGGTCTTCTGAGAGTAGTGGCTGTAGGTCTTTGATAATTTTGCGTATTACCTCTAGAGTAGGGTTGTAGGTAACTACAAGAGGGGTCCTGGTTGGGTTTTTCTTCTCTTTGTGCTGTAGCAGTCTTTCCCGTGGTGAAATATATACATACACATACATACATATACACACACACAGAGAATAATAATAACTAATATACATACAGATTCCATGCACAAGTCTTTTGTTGTTGTTGTTGTTTTCCCCCCCTTTCCTACACTTGGGATCAGCTATTTCTTTTGCTTGCACAACCCCTTTAAGAATGTGTTGCAGTAACCAACTCTGCCCTTGTACATCTATTCCAATGAATGTTCTTCGGTATATTATTTCAACTCCAGCAATAAGATGTTCTTTTTTTTTTCAGTGATTGTTACCAGTAGCATGCCAATAAATCTCACTAGCGTGCACAGTTAATGTGCTGCTGCATAAACACTGTGGCCATTTGACCATTAATACAAAAATAAGCTGTGCACTTCAGCCGCTCTACTAGCAGATTGTGCTTGAATGTACATACTATACAGATGGCTATTAATTTATCATTAATAGTAGAAAAGCACACAATGGACCTCGCGTATTTCAGGAGTGGGTATGGTTTTTCTTTTATTGATGATAAAAATGTGCAGCAGCATTTTGGTGAAGATGAGAAAGCGCTGCAGAGCTTTCCATAGGAATAATGAATAGTTCTGTTTACAACACCGAATGTATTGGCACACTGACCCGTCAACCATATGCCATCAGGGAGCCTATACTGAGGAAATAAGAAAATAAAAAAATGTGTGCTTTTTCCTCATTTGCTTGAAAGCAAATATATTTGCCTATGGACATCCCTATAATATCACTACATTAAAATGTTCACAGATATAAACTTCTTATAGGAGAGTACACTGGCCAGATATAAGCACACCCGGCTATTTGGTCACATCATGGGCATGCTAATAGATAAAGCTTAATGACCAATTGTTTGGCAATTGAGGAATGAGCCTATACTGCCCAGGCCAAAGCAGTAGTAGATGTATAGTGACTGCAGCCACAGACACAGTCATCATACAACTGAACCGGCCACCCCAGTTACTGGTCATCTAAATATACTTAATGTAACATTTGGGGCCAGTGTCCACAGGATTTGTTAACCTTAGACGAGCTTCTCTCTATATACAAGTCTATGGCAATGAAAAAGCATCTTCAACAAGGAAAATGAAGGTCAGAAGGATGTCAACTGCAGGCCAAACGCATCTGCCAATGAATTCTGAATGATCTTTGTTAAAAGTTTCTCAAAAGCATGCTGCATTTCCCCATAGACACAAGCCCTAAACCCAATGGCACTGGTACCTACAATAAGATAGTGGCAGGGTGGCTGTTTTTATGAATCCTCTGCCAGTGTTACAACATAGATTTACATAACATTAGAGCAACTTTAGACGGTGGATTACCCTTTATGTACAGGATCTCCAAAACGGCTATTTATGTATTGCAAATCCTGGACATAAACATATATATTCATAAGGGTACCCTAATATGTTTAAACAGAAACTTTATTGGTTTTGAGTCAAATATGTTAATTTTATGCATTTCTTAAAAACTGATTTGATTAAAACTGATTCTGTCACGTTTTCACCAGCATTAGACTCTATAGTGTGGCATGGGCCTTACAGTTATTTTGGTTTGCTTTAAAAAGTAAAACATATCCCTGGACCCGTCAGATGTCCACCAAGGAGTACAAGCATCCCGATTGGTAATTGGTTCCCTACAGAAAAATAAGTAACTGAGGACAAACAGAGTTTTGTATGTGAACAACTAACTCATTGGATTGAGGTGTTCCAATCACCTCCATGGCCACATGTGTATAACATCAAGCACCCAGGGATGCAGACTGCTTCTACAACCATTCGAGAAAGAATGGGCCACTCTCAGGAGCTCAGTGAATTCAAGCGTGGCACCGTGATAGGTTGCCACCTGTGCAATAAGTCCATCCGTGAAATTTCCTTGCTACTAAATATTCGGCGGTCACCTGTTAGTGGTATTGTAACAAATTGGAAGCAACTAGGAACAACAGCAACTCAGCCATGAAGTGGTAGGCCACAATAAATGACAGAGCGGGGTCAGCGCATGTCTGCAGTGTCAGAAATCGACAACTGTCTGCAGAGTCAATAGCTACAGACAGCCTTCCCAGAAGAGTTGAAGCTGTTATAGCTGCAATGGGTGGGCCAACTCAATATTGAACCCTACAGACTAAGACTGCGATGCCATTAAAGTTCATGTGCGTTGAAAGGCAGGCGTCCCAATACTTTTGGCAATACAGTATATATATAAGCATCAAAGAAACATAGAACAATGATGGCACAAAAAGACCAAGTGGTCCATGGAGTCTGACACTATTTTATTTTGGCTTGTCTTTGTGTTGTATATGGTTTTTAATTTTACTACTACAAATATTAAGCTCACTGGCATGTAGTTGCCAGCTTTTTTACTACCCTTGTGTGGATTGGCACAATATTAGCTGTCTGCCAGTCATGGGGAACTTGATAGAAGAGATTGATGAAAAAAGATGAGTTAATGGTCCAACAACTCGCAACTATCAGGCCATGCTGAAGTGCAGTAATGAGATTTTCACATTGTCGGAAGTTACCCTTTCCTCTCAAACATATTTGTTGAAAAATATATTTGTGACCCATCACCAACTTTTCTGTTTTCTACAAAGAAAAAAGGATTGAAGCTTAAAGTGCATGTGTGTCACATCCTACCATGGGCATAACAAGCAAGCCGGTTTAGAACGGTCATTTGAGGAGAAGCAGAAATCGAACTGCTTGCTGTTCCAGGTTAGGCATCTTCCTGTATAGTGGAATCTAAACGTAATGCAGGTTAACTGAAAAGAGTCATTTCTACGGTTGTCTTTTATCATTAAGTAGGCTGCACACTAGTATTCATTTTGCTCTGCTGCTGATGCCCTCTGGTGGTAAAAAGTAGTAGAGACAATGCAGCTGTAACAAATGTACTCTTTGAGATTATTGCTACTGTGATTTATAGCTATTAGATGGTAATAATAATAGTAATAATTATTATTATAATAATAATAACAATTATTAAAAATATGATAATAATAAAAATAATATCTGTTTATTTTCTATGCTGAATATTTTCTGCCTCGCTGTACATACCATCTCTGTCAATATTGATAACGTATTCATAGCCAGAAAGTATTTTTTCAGTTTTAGATGTTTATGTCCAGTTAAGGAGATTCCTATTACTTCCTATCCCAAAGACAAAACTAGAAGTCAAAAGAAATCTCTACAAAGTGAGAGAAAATCCCTTACGAAACAGTTGTCCTCATTGGAAAATTTCCCCTTACCTTCTTTTCTGACGACACCTAACATTTTGGATTACCCTTTACATTTATTCTTGGTGACAATGATCACTTGGACAACCAGAGATATTTAACTTTGCAAAATCACCCCAGACAGCAATAAAAACATAGGCTCTTGTATATCCACACTCTAAAACAAATAAAAAGTGCGTCTGTACATTCACTATTAGCTTTCACATTTGACTAGCAGGTGCCAACAGGAAGCTACAAAGGTAATTCTGTTAAAAGTACTGACGTATACATGTTTCTAGCAAAGAACGTTTTATACTGGAGTGTGTCTGAATTGGATATTCTGGATCGGATATCCTGTACCGTGTTGTACACTTTATAGGGATGTCTATGTCCCATGCATGCAATTGAAGTCACTCAAGATTGCTAAGAGACCAAAAGTAGAACTTTATTCACTCATGCAGTCACTGCATACTTCTTACACTATCCATCTTTTGCGAAGCATAAGCACAATAATCATAGTAGATGAGGCAGATTCACAACCAAGGAGTGACTGCCGTGAACCACATGGAATAACTGCTGCAGCAGGGAAGATATAGATACATCAATCATTTACACAATATATTTAATGACTCTCTCCATACTTTTTTTTTCAAGCTCAGAAGCATTCCAGAGAGGTCTACTATGTGGAAAAAAATATCTAACACATTTATTCCTTTATTTGCATTTTAATTTGAATGCACTATTGATGCTTCCCTCAGATTTATAAACAGTAACAGGATTGGATAACAATAGGCATTGATAATCGACAACCCCAAAAGGTAAAATCAATCAGTGATACTCCGCCACTCTGCAAAAGTTTGCAATCTAGTTGGCTTTTCTTTAACCACCTCAGGGCCGGCCGTTGTAAAAAAAACAGCCGGCCGAGAGGTCTCTAGATCGGAGCGGGCGTCTTTAGACCTCAGCCACGCCCACCTGCGCGCGCCGCTGGGCGTGCGCGAGCGGGAAACACCGGCAATTTAAAAACAGGTACTGAGTGATAATGTTAGAGCCATCAATCACTGATAACACTAAACTGATGAGCGGCAAAAGCTTTTAAAGCGTCGCCTATGGTCGATTTTGGGTATTGTAGTTTTTTGCGTTTTTGCGGGTGCGTGCAATTTTTAAGCTTGACATGTTTGGTGTCTATTTGCCCAACGTGACCCCGTCTTTTATGTTTTATCAAAAAATTGGGTAATAATAATTGTTTTCTAACATAATGTAAAAAACACTTTTTCCCAAAAAAATTTCAGTAAATTTTCTGAAATATAGTAAAAAATAAAACCCCCAGTGGTGATTAAATACCACCAAAAGAAAGCTCCATCTGTCCCCAAAAAATGGTATAAAATGCATTTCAGTACAGCGTTGCATGACAGAATAAATGTCAAAGTACCGCAGCGCTGAATACTGAAAAATGGCCTGGCCAGGAAGGGGTCTAAACACCTGGTCTTCAAGTGGTTAAAGTGTATTTCCACTTTTACAACCAATTTGGGATAACGCCTATGTTATATTTGTTATATGTTCCCATTCACATAGCATAAGCTAAAAAAAAAAATTGAAAAAAATGTTTCTTTCAGTTTAAATTGCTTTTACTTGGGTTAGGGGATCTTGGCTTCTCAAGGGTTTCATTTTTACTGGCTTCTTCTTCTTTGCAATGTTAGGAGGGACTGTGAAGGGATAAAGGTTTACAATCCTGGCTTCTGCATTCAACTGTTAATGAAGTTAATGAGAGAAATACAATCCTCAATTTCCAGTCCTAATTGTTTCTATAAGGACAGATCTTTGTTAAAGGAGAACTATGAGGTGAGTGCTTTTTACTCACCTCATAGTCCTAGCCTACCTCTGACCATGAGACTGTCACAGGTCGGCTCAGTAGATCGGGAGGTGAGCGAACACATACCGGCGTTCGCTCACCTCTCGATCCTGTCACGGCTCTCTGCCGTGACAGGGGAGGGGCTGGATTTC